ACAGTCTGCCCATGTCTGCCCACAGTCTGCCCATGTCTGCCCACAGTCTGCCCAGGTTCTGCTCAAAGTCTGCACATGTCCGCCCACAGTCTGCCCATGTCTGCCCACAGTCTGCCCAGGTTCTGCTCAAAGTCTGCACATGTCTGCATAAGGTCTGCCCAGTGTCTACCTGGAGTCTGTCCAAGGTCTGTCTAGTGTCTGCCTAGAGTATGCCCATGTTTGCCAAAGGTCTGCTCAGAGTCTAACCAAGGTCAGTACAGTGTATGCCCAGGGTCGGGCCAGAGTCTACTCAATGTCTTCCTAATATCAACTAAAGGTCTGCCTAGGGCCTACCCAGTATCTCAGAGTATTGATATTCCCATATCCCAACATGCCACATCAGTACATTGGCTTATATAACTCCATCCTACTAAACAAAGTATGAGAATACATCATTTTACAATTTGCAAGCAAAATTTTAATCGTCATTGACTACAGTGAATTAACATTCAAATGATTATGTCTATGGTACATTTATCAAAATTCATCTTCTAACATCACGGGCAAAAAAAAAAAAATACTTTGGTAAATTATTTTAATTTTTGTTAATGACTAAAATTATAATCTTAAGAGGTGTTACTTCAATGTAAAATGGCCTCTATTTGTGTGCAGAAGATAAGAGAACGGTAAGGGCCAACATTTCTGAGGGAAGGATCCCAAAATTGTGTTAACACTTAGCCTCATGGTGACTACATGATCATCTGTGTAAGCGTCTACGTAATGGTGAACGTGTCTCTGAGTGCAGCCGTCCATGGCACAGAAAGGTGGAGAGGCAGTGGAGTGGGATCTGAATGAAGCCATAAATAATTCATCCGGCGGAGGCCGAGGCCGACCCCGTGCATGAAGAGAGTCGGGCGACAGAGAAGCTTCCAGGGCCATCGGTGGCAATAATAACAGCATCTGGGGCAGATGTGGTTTGCCTGCCTATTGGTGGAGAAAGTAGACAACGCCCCTCCATTCACCTTCAGAAACTGAGCTACGTTCATATGAAAACACAGTGAATAGGGGAGGGGACAGCTAAGGCTGGGGGCGTGTACACCAGGGAGAACTCATATCCACTAGGGGCGATGTAGGGACACCGGGTCTCCTGAGCTCTGTTAAAGAAGGATTCTGTACCCGCAGGCCTGGAGATTTGTGGATTTAGGGTGCAAGATTCAGGGAGTCATGCTCTATCTAAAAATAAATTACCGTATTTCAAATTATTTCCAACAGAGAAAATTGGTCTGCTTTTGGAAAAGCAAAACCCTGTACCTAAATACATGCACACAAACACACACACACACACACAAAGAATTACACAGACAGTCACGACTCCCGAGAGCTTTAAGCCGCCTCTCTGAGGGCATTCAATGCGGAAAAATGCCTGGGTGTGCTCCAGGAGCAGCTGGGAGCTCGTTGGCAGGCCAGGCTGTGCTGGATCTGCCTCCAGTCCATACTTGGTGCCCTTGTGCCTGAACTGCCACATCAGCCACTCTCTTGCATCTGATGTGACACTCATGCTTTCAGACTCTCACACAAGAAATCTTATGGCAAATCTATGTTATTCCATCATAAACCTAAAATTAGATGCATCCAAAGTATTGGGGTAGTTTGCAAAGCCTATGGGCTATTTAAATGTAATAAAACTGTTACATGCGTGTAAATGCGTGTGACTGTGTGCAGATTTGTCTCAAGCTGACGATGTTGGAAACCCTGCCACCAGCGCCTAGCCTGGCTTCAGGTGTCATATCTCTGCTGACATCTCGTAAGACTGGGAGATGACGTGCGTTTTCAGGCTGGCCCTGAGTGTCAGGAGCCTCATGATCACAGCTGCCGAGATGGGGGCATGTATGCGGACAAGGGCGGCGGCTGTGTGGATTTCAGGGGGGGGGCAGGTCTGCTATTATGAAGACCAGAAATGCTGCACATTCACGCCGTCTGGTGTTTCAGCCGAAAGCCTAAATTTATCCAGGATACAATTTCTCAAAAAAATGACTGGGTTAATTAATTCAATCCGAGTCAACAGGTAACAAAAGCTCTTTAATACATAATGTCATTGAATGTGCCATGTGGAAGTACAGCAACCTAACCACAGAATCAATATCAGCTTATAGCAGCTTGTGGCAAAATATAAAGCGTGTGTATAGACAGGCGTGACGGCCGAGCTTCTAACACAAACAGAGGCTCAGGGACAGAGGCTCAGCTTTGCTGACTCCAGAGGCAGGCGTGACGGCCGAGCTTCTAACAAAAACAGAGGCTCAGGGACAGAGGCTCAGCTTTGCTGACTCCAGAGGCAGGCGTGACGGCCGAGCTTCTAACAAAAACAGAGGCTCAGGGACAGAGGCTCAGCTTTGCTGACTCCAGAGGCAGGCGTGACGGCCGAGCTTCTAACAAAAACAGAGGCTCAGGGACAGAGGCTCAGCTTTGCTGACTCCAGAGACAGGCGTGATGGC